TAATGAAACATATGCAAGAAAAGAACCAAGCTCAGAGAACCCCAAGGACTCCATAGTTGGGTTCTATTCCAAGCTAATAAAAGATCTAAAATTTGAATAAAATCTGCAACCTTAATTACCTTACCCAAAACCAAAGTAAAATGATATTCAAAACATCTATGTAATATATCTACAAAATCCATAGCAAGACCATAATAATTCATTAAGGCGTAAGATTTATTAAAATACTTAATTGCCAGTATTTTAAAAATCACTTATTTCTTGTTCTGCCACAGATTTGGAACACTGTTAATCAAAATTAATATTCCTCTGCAAAAGTTTGAATTTTCACTTTTGTATACTTTCCCAACTTGTTCTCTAGAAAACAGTTCCTTCTGCTGTGGCTGTTGGAGGACTCATGCTTATAATCTGCTGTAGTGTTGGAAGATAGCAACCTTCTCTCGATCTTAGTATGATAGTATTTGATTGAAATTGGGGAAGCCAGGTGTATATAGGATGGAATAGAAAAGGTAGGGGTGAAACAGATGAACTTTTTGGAGAGTTTTGTGGTATGGGCCAGATTTCGATGGTAATTGGCACAGGGAAGTATGATTAGAAATGGCCATGCCCAAATAACTGTGACCAGCAATTTGGTGCAGGTTCCCATTTCTGGACCAGTATCTCTTGGGGGTATGGAGGTCAGACTGCTAGTAGCCTTGCTCTCAGGCTACTGTTGGTGAATATTAGGTCACTCTGGAATAAGACCTCATCCATACACAATATAGTGGAAGATGAACAACCTGATTGGGTACATTTTGTTGGGGAACGTAAGGGTTGGGGTTTTCAACTATGAAAACCTGTGGATATGTCCAGTGCTCCTTAGGAATGATTGTCCCTTCCCAGGTCATCTCAGCCCCAGGTCATATTGGCAGTTACAGGATAGACTTAATGTTCACCTCAGAGGAAATGGTGCCTGACCTGGAAATGGAAGACATTGTCATCAGCCTTTTTTCAGAGGTCAGATGATTTCTCAGTCAAGCTGCAAGTTACTGTCATTAACAGCAGACAATTTAGACGGTTATATGTGGATAAATCTGAAAGTTCCAATATAGTTAAGTATTTACTGACTTCCTCAATTTAATTATTTCACTTAATTGTTTATTTATTGGTTTTATACCCCACCACAATCAATTTACTCACAGCAGCTTATGATGACTACAAGATGACAATTTAAACATCTACCCAAAATACCAACATAAATAACAATAAAATAGAGAAGGAAACAATAAAAATAACAGAATAAATTAAATCAACAAAATCATGAACTGTTGGTTCTTGATAGACTCCTAAAGACAATAGGGAGTTGGCAAAGCAATACAAGGCTATTCCAAAAATATTGCACAGAAAAGCAGCATTTGGGTAACATTATAAATTCATCCCTTTTTAAAAAGTTAGTAGTGAATTGCTTTTTAGAGTCTTATATTAATGCAGTAATTTGGCTTTAATGTTTCAATCTATCTGCTAATAATTTTGAATTTTTGTAATCAACTTCATAATATATTTGTTTTCAATACCAATTGCTGAAATGTATGTGTGTGTGTTTTTGTGTACATTATCCTTCTACATATTGAGCTGTCTCTCTTCCCCTATTCAATACTTCCTTTTATCAATACCTCCAATACATTTTTTTCCAAGCCCAAATTGAATTATAATCATTCTGCCATGTAGCAGTGAAGCTAACAGTCTCTGCTTTTGCAATATTTTCTCTGACCCCTTGTACTCAAATGTTTCATCCTTACTGTCAGACATACATGATCTAATGTCCACAAGATTGTTTTGAGTCTGCTTTTTAATATCTGGATTCTGAACATTTATCAGTTTCACTAGGACTATCAAAAATGTCATACACTTGTCTCCCAGTGTCCATGTGACTCCCAAAATAAATAATTAAAAAATAAAAATAACATGGCCAGAATCTTGAAAAATTACAATGTGTCACAAGGGTTCGGTATTCCCACCTGAAATCCAGAGACATTTTTGGCAAGAACTAGACCTAACTGTATTTTAACATGAATGTTACAAGAAATAATTTATCACTGTCTGCTGATGCCCTCAGGAATTATTCTTTCAAAAAGCCACACCTGGAAACAGCAGTGACTATCTAATGTCATATGTGCTTTGAGTTTTGGACATCAGTTTGCTCCTGAAGATGAAAACTTCCAGAAGCTAATTCAAGCCCTTCAAATTGTTGTGAAATTCACTGATGACTTTTTCCATACGGCGAGTCAAGTTTTCAACTAAAGAGACAAAGATCTCCAAAAACTTATGTTTTCACCAGTATTTTCATGGAATCATAGAATGCAAGGATTGGAGGAAGCTTGGAAATCGTCTAGGGTACTCCTTTCCCCAGTATATGTGTGTCTGCCTTCGAGTCAGTCTTGACTCCTTGAGACTGCCTGGACAAGTCTCTGAAGTTTCTTGGCAAGGTTTTTTGGAAGTTCCCTCTTCCTAGGGCTGAGAGAGAGGGACTGGCCCAAGGTCATCCAGTTGACTTAGTGCCTGAGTTGGAACTAGAACTCACAGCCTCCCAATTTCTAGGCTGGTGCATTAACCACTGCACCAAAGTGCAAGAATCCATCATTTCAGGATCACCAGCAGACAGCCATCCACCCCATGTTTAAACATCTCTAGCAAAAGATGGTCCACCAATTCCTGGGTGAGTCCATCATTGAACAGTTCTTACCATTTTTTCCTGACACCCAACCAAAATCTGCTTCCTTATACTTGTTGGAAGAAAAAGTTATCTTACCAAGTCCGTTTCTGAGCCGGGAGTAAAGACACTGACAAATTGCATGAAGTTAGGAGATTTATTCTTCACCCAAGTGCAGAAGCAATGACAGCAGGCAGTTAGGTGGGCGGCCGCGCTGGGCCCCCTCCCCACAGTACCTTATATCCCTTCTGTTACATTCAAACCCACGTTAAGATGTCATGCCTTTCTGATCCAATCAAAGCCAGTTATAAGCGGTCCTGACCTTGTTTCTTAGGGAGCCATATGTAAACATACATCCCTAAGAAACAAGGTCAGGACCGCTTGCCATATGTAAACATACATCCCTAAGAAACAAGGTCAGGACCGCTTGCCATATGTAAACATACATCCCTAAGAAACAAGGTCAGGACCGCTTAAAAATGCAACCTTTTGATAATCTAAAATACAGTTAACCATACATACAGGAAAGGGAATATTGGCATTTTGCTAGGCCTGCTTTTATTATAAAGATAAATGTTTAAACATCTAAATGTCTTAATATATAAAAATGTCTACATGCACCAACCTTCTAACATACTTTAAACCAATTGTCTCTCTCCTGTCTTCTGGAACAACTCTGAATCATCCTGTCTCTCTTCTATGTGACACTCCTTCAAATACATGAGGGCAGTGATCATGTCCCCTTGCAGTCTTCTTTTCTCCAGGCTAAACATAGCTACTGCTTCCAATGGTTCCTTTTAAGTTTTTCCTTCCAAGTCCCTTATCATCTCAGATGCTCCCCCCCAAATACACTTTAGTTCCTAAGTTTCTTTGTAAAGGACATTGTAGAGAACTAGATGCAATATTCTAATAGGGTCTGAATAAAGAGGAATAAAGAGGAACAATGATATCTCTTAATCTTGATACTAGACTTCTGGTGATCTACCCTAGGATTACATTTCCTTTTCCAGCAGCTGCATTACATTGTTGGCTTATGGTCAGCTTGTGATCCAAGAAGACAGCTAGATCTTTTTCACTTGTATCATCTCCCATAATGCATATATACTATATGCCTTTCATTTTTCCTACCTGTATGTCAGAATGTCATCTCAGTGAGCTCTGTACCAATGTCCAACCCATATTTCACCATCTTCTCCATTAGGATCTCATGTGAAAGATGGGTAAACATTTGACTGAAGTCAAGATTCACTAGGTCCAAGATCTGCCCACTTTTTTAGGTAGATATTTACGTACTCACAAACTGCCTTTCCTTTCCACTCACACAACTCTGGGTGGGTCTGTATTGGGACTATCATTCTGCATAGTATCTTGGAATAGCACTAAATAGTCCTTTTATCCATGAATCCATACTGTGGCTCCTTCAGGCAACCCATAAATCAGCCCATCCTCCAGGGAAATATCGATCAAGTCTAATGTTTTTGGAAACATCAGGTCTTCAATTACTTGTGGAACACTAACAGGGTTGGGGGCATCTGAATTTTTTTTAATTAGGGATGCCCATTTTTGATCCAAAAGATTACCCTGAGGTTCTAATTCAAACATACTAGACCACAGACTGGGAAAATCCAACCCATGCAGTTTATTTATTATTTATTCTGGCACGTGAATCAATTTGGGCTAATTTATTAAATCACAGCTCAGTTACCCACAGCTGAGCATATTTACAAAGGCTCCTGTAGACATTAAGTAAATTTTATAATAGCTTTATAATAATCTATTTGCCTCCAACATTATCTGCTTTCTAGAAGAAGTTGGAAGCAGTCTTTCTGGGGCACTTTTGGGGTCTGACACCATGTATTGTTTACCATGTTTTAATATTTGTGTTTGTATTATTTGTGTTTGAATATTAAGTGCTGTCTGTTACAGTGAGCTACTGAGAGTCTTCTATAATTGTGGTGTGAAATCAATCAAGCAATCAATCACTTTTGCTCTTCCTTTCCTATTAGATGTATGATTTGTTCCCACGGTTAATGAACTACCTCCCAGGGCCTCACAAAGATGTCCTGGCTTCTGCAGATTTGATTGTTTCTTTTGCAATGGAGGAAATAGAGAAACACAAGGAATTCCACTCTCTGCATGAGCCACAAGATTTCATTGATCACTATCTTCTTCAGATGGAGAAGATATGGGTTTCTTGTAGTTCAATACATGGGCAAGAAATTAGTACATTCTTTCCTATAAGTAAACAGGAGGAACTACTGATATTGTGTTCCTTCATCTTAGATTTTTTTTTCTTTTTCATTCAGCTCCCATTCTGAATTTACCCCATGCCAAATTCAGGTTGCTTCTGAATAAGAGCTATATTGTACCTCTGCTCTCTTTAGACATGGAAGATTCTTCATGGGGGGAGACGAAAATCAATTACTTCTATTTGTCACCCTCTCATGTTTGCCTACTTTTTTCCCTTTTTCTAAAGAAATTCCATTAAGAAAGAAAAGAATTAACAGGGTAGGGACTTTTGATTAATTCATACTTGACTCAGTCCCTGAAATGATTGGAAAAGGAGAGATACTTTCACAGCCTTGACTGTAAGTAAAAATGTAAAATATTTTGAAATAAGGAAAAAAACTCCTCCTCTCCAATGTTTTCAGAAAAAGACCCAGAAATTTTTTTTTTAAAGCAACTTTTATCAATGTGAAGTTACTTTGCACTCTGCTCACCATTTCACATGGTCTGCAGTGTCTCTACAGTCACAAGGCATGGTAGTCCAGTAGTGTGTCACAATCAATC